TGATTGTGTCTTAGCATTACAAATAAAATCCATCTGCAGTGTGGCTCTATAAGGACGTATAATTACCCAAAATGGGTAAATTATACGTCCTTATAGAAGACGTATAATTGGATTCCAGAATCCAGTTTTTAAATCTTAAAGCTCGAATCCAGGTTGTTGGCCCCAGGTCAAGTGTGATGAATTAAAGTGACCTCTGACTAAAAAGTTTGGACACCCCTGCGTTAACGCCGAGTGTTGTTTCAATCTGGTTTTTCCTTTTATTTGTGAGTCATGAAAAACGTGCCGAGCCTTGGTCTTGTTCACATTTATTGTAGTCACATGCATACTCACTACAGTTTAGTGTGCGTTACACAGTCTCCTCCGAGCTCCCGCACCAAAAGTCTGGACACAGGTTTTATTCCCCACTTTTTTCAAAAACACAAGGAGCATTTCATAAAAGCCAGCGCTTCCATTTCACCGGCGTCGGAACCTTCTGGAACCATAACAATGAAATATCCCCACAGTTCTTGTAGAGATGGGTCTAGTTCAGGTGAAACTCAAAAGGACGATTTCATTTCTAACATATCTCAGGTTTTCCAGATGTTCAAATTGTTGAAGGAAGTAAAACCAAGTGAAATGGCTTTTGCGCCGATTACTCGAGAAAAAACAGCAAAGCAAAGAGTTTTCCAGAAGCATTTTTGTTGAACCGGTTTTGTCATAAATAATAATCAGTAAAAGGCCAAATTAAAATCCCAACTATGTGTTTTGTCTTTCTTCAAAAACTGCACACATTTCACCGCAAACACCTTTCAACAAAATCATCTCCATGTTTTCCATCGTACAATAATCCGTAACACACAGTGGCGTTTGCAGCCGACAGCAGCGGCCCAATGACCGACCCCTGGGGCACCCCAACATCAGACTGTGCTGATACTGAAGCTCATGACATGGTTTTCCAGTTCAATTTAGACAAAAAAAAAGATTGAAGGCAGTAATTGTCAAGTAATTGCAAAAATGTGTTATATCCAGAGTTGCAAAATTACGGGAAATTTCAAAGATGTAAACTTTCCATTGGAATTTATGGGAATGAACAAAAAAATTGAAAGTTGATTTTTTACTGGGAACTTAAATATATTTGAGGACAGTTTAGTTTGGCATAATCTTGACTAAAACAGACAGACGCCGTTCAAATACACTGTGGCAATAGAGAGAGCGCCCCCTACTGGCTCCACGCATGTCTTCATCACATGTACAGAGGGTTTCTAGAAGACTGGAGATACTTGTGAAAGTGAAGTAAGTTTTGATGATATTATGGGGAGCTGGTTTTACAAATAAATCTGATGATATATATGCTGAAAATCTTGGTCATCATTAAATTAAATTAGATTACAATGAATTCCCATTTATTGAATATTTCCCCATTTTAATTTCCCATGAAAATAATCTGGAAACTTTCCGGAAATGTCTCCTTGAAACCCTGGTCACACCTCAGTCCTTGTCCAGACGGAGACGACACAGCCTTCATATGAAAACATTGGTCTTCAGTACAGACTCTGTTTGTGGACCAGAGATAAATACAAAAATAAAATACTTAATTCACTGAAATCGTCGGTTTATTTGCTAATCGTGCCAAACTTGTGCGGGCCCCATTTATTACGGATAAATCCCAAGTGCATATCATATCACATTTGATCATCATTGCAACGAGTTAAAACCTTAAAATCTCAAATATACTGATTTAAAATGACACTAATAAATAAATAAATAAATATTTTCGACACTTCCTGCAAAACACACAAAACACCATCTTTTGAACTCAAAGACAACACCGAGTCCTGTCCGTGGCTAGTACCGACTTGTATGAAACATGACTTTCTTTTTCCAGGTAGAAAAAAATCCCAAAATAAAACCACAGCAGAACTTTCCAAAGAAAAGCACGATAAGAACAAGTCCTTACAGTCAGATAAATACGGCGGTCTACGGTAGCTTATATCGATTATCTAGAGACCAGAAATTGCATTCAGACGGCTGGCTTTTGGAGAATACGGTGGTTACATGGTTTTAAGTAGATTTAGAGAGAAAACGACGGCACATTGTCACTGCTTATTGTGACGTAAGTAGAAAAACGTTAGAATTATGAGATAAAATTCACATTCTGTTGGCGTGATATGAGTAGAATGGGAAACGCTGACAGAAGCTGGTGCAGGTTGATCTCGGTGGATTTCTGAGCCGTGTATGGTCTGTACAGAAGAAGCTCTTTACTACCCCGGGTTTAGACAGATAAGAGCAGAGACTTTAGCCAAAGGAAAGATGGATTTGGACTTTGTGAACGACAGAATGACTGATCAGAGAAGGCTGGTGTCAATGGGCGCCGAGGGATCTGAACTCTCTGTAATATTGTGGAAAAATATAAAAGAAAATATGGGTTCATTCGATAATTATTTGTGATAAAGTACTGGATTATTGTTATTGCTGTGTTGAGATGCTCAGCCCTCATTCACAGACAGGGGAAACTTGCCATAGTCACTTTTTAATGGTACCTTAGGTTCCCTTCATCAGACGTCGAGAACCTTTTTTTGTCCAGAGAGAGACCCAAATAAAGTCTCTTGTGATTTTTATTTGTATTTGAAGGCTACTTTTAGCAAAGAGGGGCCAGTATTCTTAGCCCTCAATCACAGACAAGGGGAAAAATGTGCCTAAAATCCCTCTATCAGACGTCGGGAACCTTTTTTAGTCCAGAGAGAGAGAGCTAAAAAAGTGTCTTGTGCTTGTAATTCAGTGGGAGCCAAGCAGATTCTTTTCACGAGATCAACACATTGCTCATACTGAAGTAATAAGATGTGTCTGAGAGCCGGCTCCTGACCTTTCCCTCAAACTTTTTAATATTCATGTAGATTTGATTGATTATGATTAATGCCAGATGTGAGGTGCTTTGTGTTGGAAAAACGTTCTTCAAAATAAAGTCGATTTGATTTCCTGTTGTTTGCAGATTTACTTTCACTGTTGGATCGGTCACTCTCTGCGGTTACGGCAGAATTTCAGGAAGATAGAAGTTGGTGATGCCTTCACTTGGGCTGTCATTTTTTGGTAAATTTCAAACTATATCTAATCTAACGGTTGAATTTGTACAAAACATTATCGCCCCCCGTAAACAGTATTGATATTTTGAGTTAACGACGACTGAAATAGTCCGAAAACAGCCTTTCTAAAGTATCCGTATTTATGATATTGGGATTGGGATGATTTCAGAGTGGTGCCAGTGGTAGAAACCTGGACCATGTACTCTGAGATACACACCACGCCTGTATTTGTGGATGTAAAACCACCAAAAACCGCATCAAAATACATACTTTGAAGCATATCTGTGAAGAATTGTTGCTCCAAGTAATTAAACATATTCTAAAACGTTTTAAAGATTGGGGGCAACACTTGGTTAAAGGACTTAATATCATCATTTGAGAGCTCTTACGACAGTGCAAATATGCTGCTAATATTTCAGAGAACATGCTAGGCTTAGAGGGGGATGCTAGGCTAGGAGGGGGATGCTAGGCTAGGAGAGGGAGCTAGGCTAGGAGGGGGCCGTTAGCTTGCGGTTGTTCAGTTTTGGCTAAAGTCTCTGACCACAGCAGCTCTGTTCTCCCTGATTCTCAGACCGGTGTAAAACGCAGTCCATTTTTATTTGGCAGACGAAGACATTGCACGAAAGTCCTTTTTGTAATTGTGCTCTTCCATGTGTCACGTAAACGCGCTCCGACGAACGCCGCCAGACACCCACCGCCGGTCGCTAACGGTTGCTAACGGTCGCTAACGGTCGCCGCCATCTGCAGCTTGTTTTTGTTTTGTACAAAGTGTAGGTTTGGTTTGAAAAGAGCCGAGAAAATTGTCCTTTTTCACAATACTAGGAGTTCCAGTTGTGTCGCATTGTGTCCCGTTTAGAACAAGGATACTAGCTTAATGGTTCCTGGTTCCTTCTTGTGCTGTGGTAACGATATTCACGGGGGAAAATCAATTCTGATCAGTATCGCGAAATTTTGCACACACATTAAATCAATACAGTAGAGCCAAGTATTGCAATATTTAATTTTTGTTTGAATTCATGTGATTGATATAACATTTATAAAACAAGGCAAAGTTTAAAATCATTATTTACAATTTGCACTATTTTCAAATTGACCAAGAACTTAGCCCCAAGCTAAATCATTAGCTTAGCGCTCAAGATTCCTGGCGCTATAGTGGCAGTAACCAGGACATTTGATCACATTTTCACCTCGTTTTAAAATCGTCCGAGCAATTTGGACACAACTGGAACTCATGTGACCGGACCGCTGGCTTCTACGCTGTGTGTGTGTGTGTGTGTGTGTGTGTGAAAGAGTCGCAAGCGGCGTTAGTGGGTCTCCAGCGTGTGAATGGCACTATGCACAGATGAGTGATTCACTTTACTCTGAATATTAGTCGTAAAAACAATGAGACAATAACATTATTTTTTATACCACAGACTCCCGACAGCCCCGTTCACACAGCGTTCAGCAGATGGGCCGTCAGAGAGGACGTTTGTTCATGGTAGAAACCAGGAACATACAGATTTTTTTTTACCGTCGTATTGTGTATTACAGCCCTGAATGGTTCTACACAGAACATACGAGGTAATCAATGCTTAAATCAAGGGGTTAGTATCTTAATCTGACACATTCTCAAATGGTACAAAGCCTTTTAGTCTTTTTTCAAGAACTCAATCCAGAAACATTTCTGAATCTTTTTAAAATAAGATAATTTTCCTTTGTCCCATTGGAAAATCGTGTTTTAAGGCTCAGTCAGAATGTGCCCATATTAAGACATTTACCCAAATTTTTACAATTTTAAAGGTATTTTTCATCACTTCTGTTTGGGTTAGGGTGTTGCGTCTGTGTGAAAGGGGCTCTCTTGTGGGTCTCTCTCGTGGGTCTCTCCCGTGGGTCTCTCCCGTGGGTCTCTCCTGTGGGTCTCTCTCGTGGGTCTCTCCCGTGGGTCTCTCTTGTCTTCCTTCAGTCGGACCACTCGTTGTCATCGAGCTCCGAGTCGTCGTCTGATTCGCTGTACTCCACGGCGATGCGGCGAGACAAGATGGTGGCCACGTCGTTCCCCACGGGCTCGCGCTTGGCCTCCTGCTCGCGCTGCTCCTGCACCTTCCTCAGCTGGATCCCTGAAGAACAACAAGCATTAGAGGCACACGATGGCAGCCGTAGATTTCAGTCTGATAGAGTTAGACTTCAGACACGAGGCTTTAGATCCAGGTCCAACACGAGGCTTTAGATCCAGGTCCAACACGAGGCTTTAGATCCAGGTTCTTACACTGTGATTCCCGGTGAGTTACACTGAAGCATCAGTTGGTCTTCACGCTTCACATCTTAGTATTCTATGGTGATAAACTACTGTTGTAGCTGTATGTGCCAATAGGCCCTCCCATCAACCATTCACACACACACCAGACTCATTCTAATGTGGGGGAAGTGTCTTGCCTAAGGACACAACCACAGTTTGACACTTTGCAGCCACAGCCGCCCCACTGTGGCACCTGCTGTTCCCACAGGTCTCCCATCACTGTACTAACCAGGCCCTGCCCTGCTTCGCTTCAGAGTTCTGACATGCACACCAATGTACCTGCTGGTTTCGCTCTATTGAAAGTCTATTAAATATCTCTCTATTTAATGCTTTTAGCAACACAACACAACATTGAGCTTCCTTTCTTTTCATAACTATTGCTGTAGACCCGCACCAGGCTGTGTAAGGGCTGTTTGACCAATGAGGAGAGAGATGGTGCGGGCCACATGACCTCCACAGTCACCGGACCTGGACCCAGTCCAGATGGTTTTGGACCTGAACCCAGTCCAGATGGTTTTGGACCTGAACCCAGTCCATTTGGTTTTGGACCTGAACCCAGTCCATATGGTTTTGGACCTGAACCCAGTCCAGATGGTTTTGGACCTGAACGCAGTCCAGATGGTTTTGGACCTGAACCTAATCCAGATGGTTTTGGACCTGAACCCAGTCCAGATGGTTTTGGACATGAACCCAGTCCAGATGGTTTTGGACATGAACCCAGTCCAGATGGTTTTGGACCTGAACCCAGTCCAGATGGTTTTGGACCTGAACCCAGTCCAGATGGTTTTGGGGCTGGACCACAGAGTGAAGGGGCCAACAAGTGCTAAGCATCATGGGAACTCCTTCAAGACTGTTGAAGACCATTTCAGGTCCTGTTGAAGCTCATCCAGAGAATGCCAAGAGTGAAGCAGTATCAGAGCAAAAGGAGCTACTTTGAAGAACCAGAATAAAACACATATTTACACTTGGTTCATTCTTTTTTACTACGGACATAATTCACACAAGTTCATTCATAGGTTTGTGTCATGGTGTGGGTTTTATTTTTGTATTTTTGTTTTATTTTGACATTGTTCTCTGTGGTTTTGGTTTTAGTTGTACTTCCTGTCCTGTTTGCCCCTGTCTTGATTGTCTGCCCCGCCCTGATGTGTTTCACCTGTGTCTCTCCGTGTCTATATGTACCCTTTGCTTCTCTCCCCTTGTTGCTAGTCCATTGTCTTGTCAACGTCCTGTCTTATCTTGTTCATGTCTCTGTCTGTTTCCGTCCTGTTCCTGGTCCTGTTTTGGTTTTGGATTTTGAGTTGGTTTCATCTGGACTTTTTTATCATTAAACCCTTATTTTTGGCATTCCTGCAATTTTGGGTCTTCATTCACTTCATCACGTGACAGTTTGATGCCCTCAGTCAGTCTACTATTTTAATAATCATGGAAATAAAAAACTTTTTGAATGAGAAACTTTTGATGTGTACTGTATATATATATATATATATATATATATATATATATATATATACTGTACACACACAGTATATATACTGTATATATATATATATATATATACTGCTGGTGGGCGGCACGGTGGCTGAGTGGATAGCACTCTCGCCTCTCAGCAAGAAGGTCCTGGGTTCGAATCCCGGTCGGACCAGGGCCTTTCTGAGTGGAGTTTGCATGTTCTCCCCGTGTCTGCGTAGGTTTCCTCCGGGTACTCCGGTTTCCCCTACCACTAAAAATATGTCCAATAATTCTGGCATGCGCCTCCTGTACTGGCCCCGCTCCCATCTCTGTGTGGAGTGAGAAACAAATGCCCAAAATTAACAATTGTAAACCGCTTTGAGACTCAGATCTGCAGTGAAAAGGCGGTATATAAATAAAAAACTTACTTACTTACTTACTTACTATATATTTAGTTTTATGTGTTTTTAATTGTTGCCGTTTTGTTGTTTACAAAATTTGTTTACAAATCAGAATCAGAATTATCTTTGTTGCCGATGAGTAACAGAAGTCACAAACTATTGGTGCAAACAAGTTATACAAGTAAGAAATAGAAAGAGGCGTAACAGGAAATAACATTTCTTGAAAGGACTAATATAAGCGATGGATGAAGATGGCGTACCTCTGCGGATGGCGGCGAGCAGGTCTGAGCGTGCGTCGCTGATGGGGATCATTCCCATCACGGTGCACTTCCTCTGGGCTGGGGCCGCGTCCGCCTGCAGTGCGTGGGTGGGGGAGGGGTGAGCGAGCGGAGCCCCCGGGGGAGGGGGAGGAGGGGCGGCAGGCGGGGCTCCTGAGGGCGGGTGTGCGGGGGACGGGGTGTAGTGCGCAGGTGGAGGGGGAGGGGAGGGGGAGTAAGGGCGGGAGAGAGCGGAGGAAGTGGGCGGGACCGAGGCGGCGGAGGGCGGAGCCACAGAGGGGTCGTACTGAGCGCAGGGCATGGAGGGGGGAGGCGGGGGAGGGGCGGGGGGGATGTAGTACTCCGGGATGGTGGACGGCTGACCGCTGCGGAGACAAGAGAAAACATCTGTCCTGGTCACTACGGTAACTATGGTAACTGTGGTGAGTGTCAGAAGTCAGATTCTTGTCGAGTCTTTCTCCGGTCTTTTTGACTTTCTCTGACTTTCTGGTCCCTCTCTCTCTCTGGTCTCTCTGATTCTCTCTGGTCTCTCTGGTCTCTCTGGTCTCTCTCTGACTCACTCTGGTCTCTCTCTCACTCTGGTCTCTCTCTGGTCTCTCTGACTCTCTCTGGTCGCCCTCTCGGTTTTCTCTATTCAACCCGTAGCCCTGTAGTCCCTGTGCTCTCTCACCCGTAGCCCTGTAGTCCCTGTGCTCTCTCACCCGTGAGCCCTGTAGTCCCTGTGCTCTCTCACCCGTGAGCCCTGTAGTCCCTGTGCTCTCTCACCCCTGTAGTCCCTGTGCTCTCTCACCCGTGAGCCCTGTAGTCCCTGTGCTCTCTCACCCCTGTAGTCCCTGTGCTCTCTCACCCCTGTAGTCCCTGTGCTCTCTCACCCGTGAGCCCTGTAGTCCTTGACGCTCTGCTGTCTGGGGCCGTTGACCATGGCGTCCCCTGGAGCTCCGTGGGCAGAGGGGGTGCGTCCCAGAGAAGCAGCGTGGCGTCCTGCTGCCGCCGCCGCCGCCGCTGTAGGAGCGGGCTGCGTGCTCGGCCTGAGGACTCGGTCCAGGCTCTGGGTCTGCGGCGCCCCCATGTGGCCGAGGTCTGGGGCGGTCTGGGACGAGTGACTAGGGCTGAGGACAAAGGGCAGGATTAGAGGATCACAGCGACCTGGAGGAAGGTTCTTTGGTTCTTCAGATGTTTGTAACATGGAGATGAGTCTAACTTATCTGATCGCCGTGATATATTTAGACGGTAAAGTTCTGTCTTCCTCAGAATGTCACGTGACATCACACACGTGTCTTATCAGCTGCTGTTCCCTGGACCAGCCAACCCAGCGACTTATGGTTTACTGGGCGGACTGCGCCCTCTGCTGGTGTGTTGTGGACTGAGCTGACAGCGCCCTCTGCTGGTGTGTGGTGGACTGAGCTGACAGCGCCCTCTGCTTGTGTGTGGTGGACTGGGCTGATAGTGCCCCCTGCTGGTGTGTGGTGGACTGAGCTGACAGCGCCCTCTGCAGATGTGGTGGACTGGGCTGACAGCGCCCCCTGCTGGTGTGTGGCTGACAGTGCTCTCTGCTGGTGTGTGGTGGACTGGGTTGACTGCGCCCTCTGCTGGTGTCTAGATTCATAGAGTCTGTGCCATGTTTCCTGATGTCTATTGCGTCTTTGATCCAGCGCTTGTACTTGTTGCGTTCCTGGTTGGTTCCTGGTCTGATACTAATGATTTTTCAGTTGTCGTTTTGCACCCTGTTGTGAGTCTGCCGTCTTATTCTCACATTATTTCCTATGTTCATTTTCTCTGGTCCTAAGCTATTTTTCAGACACTCAGACTCAATAAATCACAATGAGAAGTAAACCAACTCTCCAGAACACACTCACTTCTCCGGTAAAGCACACACCAGCAGAGGGCGCTGTCCTGTAAAGCACACACCAGCAGAGGGCGCTGTCCTGTAAAGCACACACCAGCAGAGGGCGCTGTCCTGTAAAGCACACACCAGCAGAGGGCGCTGTCCTGTAAAGCACACACCAGCAGAGGGCGCTGTCCTGTAAAGCACACACCAGCAGAGGGCGCTGTCCTGTAAAGCACACACCAGCAGAGGGCGCTGTGAGGTCTGTCTCCAAAACCATCAGCTGCATCCTGGACTCAATCCTCCTGTGTGTCAGTGGTACCTGTGAGTCCCTCCTACAGCTGTACCTGTGTCTCTCTCTCAGCTGTACCTGTGTACCTCTCACAGCTGTACCTGCGTCCCTCCCACAGCAGTACCTGTGATCCCTCCTACAGCAGTACCTGTGGTCGGGGCTCAGGGACCCCTCTGAGGACATTCCGTGGTAGGGGGAGGGCGTCAGGCGAGCGTCGGGTCTGAACTCTTTGTCGTAGGCCAGAACGTTCCACTCCTGACGCCGGTTCCGAGCCTTCCGCACCTGAAACAAACACATCAGCTCAGGTCTGGGGGAAACCTGGAGGACCTGGAGGAAACCTGTCTCTATCTCTCTTTCTGGTGTCTCTCTTTCTTCCTGGTCTCTCTCTTTCTTTCTGGTCTCTCTCTCTTTCTGGTTTTTCTACTTTCTAACTACTGTACAACAATAATGTGGGAAAACAACAGGAGCAATCTTATCAATATTTTTTTCAAAAACAGCATTTTTCCTTGAGAAAGAGGCCAGAAAATGGGAAAAAGCTGAAAACCAGAGCGAGAACAGAGGAGCGAGAGAGACCAGAAGAGAGAGAGAGGAGCAGAGAGAGACCAGAGGAGAGACCAGAGAGAGAGACCAGAGAGAGAGACCAGAGAGAGAGACCAGAGCGAGAGACCAGAGAGAGAGACCAGATAGAGACCGGAGGAGCGAGAGAGACTAGAGAGAGACCGGAGGAGCGAGAGAGACTGGAGAGAGACCAGAGAGAGCATGTCTCTATCATGGACACTGACCTTCTTCACCTCTCTCCCCGGCTCCTCCACTTGTTTCTGCTGCTCCTGAAACATTTCAAATCGATAAGAAAACATCAGTGAAAAGACAAGACACGCTGTGCTCCTCTCCTCCACCAGAGGGTGCTAGTCTACTGCACTCATCCACCACCAGAGGGCGCTAGTCTACTGCACTCATCTACCACCAGAGGGCGCTAGTCTACTGCACTCATCCACCACCAGAGGGTGCTAGTCTACTGCACTCATCCACCACCAGAGGGTGCTAGTCTACTGCACTCATCCACCACCAGAGGGTGCTAGTCTACTGCAATCATCCACCACCAGAGGGTGCTAGTCTACTGCACTCATCCACCACCAGAGGGCGCTAGTCTACTGCACTCATCCACCACCAGAGGGTGCTAGTCTACTGCACTCATCCACCACCAGAGGGCGCTAGTCTACTGCACTCATCCACCATCAACACAGCAGACAGGACTACAGTGTGGGGTCCAGTCTGAAACGTCACTCTGAAGATTTAGTGAAGGAAATGTGGGGATTTAAAGCTGGGGTAAGAGAGAGAGAGAGAGAGAGAGAGAGAGAGAGAGAGAGAGAGAGAGAGAGAGAGAGAGAGAGAGAGAAAGAGAGAAAGAGAGAAAGAGAGAAAGAGAGAGAGAGAGAGAGAGAGAGAGAGAGAGAGAGAGAGAGAGAGAGAGAGAGAGAGAGAGAGAGAGAGAGAGAGAGAGAGAGAGAGAGAGAGAGAGAGAGAGAGAGAGAGAGAGAGAGAGAGAGAGAGAGAGGAGAGAGAGAGAGAGAGAGAGAGAGAGAGAGAGAGAGAGAGAGAGAGAGAGAGATCAGATAGAAGCACCTGTTTTAAATAGTCCTCCTCTTGTGTTTTTGAAAGTTACGAACCCCAGCTTTAATGGCCTTAGATTACAGTGGTCTCTCAGACTGGACTTTTCTATGGGAGACTTTTGGTGCAAGCAACAAAACAAACATGGAGAAGACGGAGTGATGCGGGAGGGAGACGTCTGTGGCGTGTTCGGGAACTACACGTGTACATCAGTATAGTGTGTCGTTTTATTCTGTAAAAATGTCTATGTAAATTATTATTAAAACTGAGTCTGGAGCCGGAGTCCACTGCAACCGTCTGCCTTGGTCCGGTTTAAACCATCAGGAGAGGACTGCCCGAGTGTGACATCACCTCATCGTGGTGTGGGAAAAAATGTATTATGTTATCATTAAAGGGCCCTAATCTGTCATCATTAAAGGCCCTAATCTGTCATAATTAAAGGGCCCTAATCTGTCATCATTAAAGGACCCTAATCTGTCATCATTAAAGGGCGCTAATCTGTCATCATTAAAGGGCCCTAATCCGTCATCATTAAAGGGCCCTAATCTGTCATCATTAAAGGGCCCTAATCTGTCATCATTAAAGGGCCCTAATCTGTCATCATTAAAGGGCCGTAATCTGTCATCATTAAAGAGCCCTAATCTGTCATCATTAAAGGGGCTAATCTGTCATCATTAAAGGGCCCTAATCTGTCATCATTAAAGGGACCTAATCTGTCATCATTAAAGGGCCCTAATCTGTCATCATTAAAGGGCCCTAATCTGTCATCATTAAAGGCCCTAATCTGTCATAATTAAAGGGCCCTAATCTGTCATCATTAAAGGACCCTAATCTGTCATCATTAAAGGGCCCTAATCTGTCATCATTAAAGGACCCTAATCCGTCATCATTAAAGGGCGCTAATCTGTCATCATTAAAGGGCCCTAATCCGTCATCATTAAAGGGCCCTAATCTGTCATCATTAAAGGGCCCTAATCTGTCATCATTAAAGGGCCCTAATCTGTCATCATTAAAGGGCCGTAATCTGTCATCATTAAAGAGCCCTAATCTGTCATCATTAAAGGCCCTAATCTGTCATCATTAAAGGGCCCTAATCTGTCATAATTAAAGGGGCTATTGTTTTCATTTCGATGTCCCGCCCGCCATTGTTTCAGAAAGTCTGTGATGGAGCTAATCTCACTGGTAAAGTACCATGTGGCACAGAACTAAAAAAGGTAACTAACAAAACGACAAAACAAGGAATAAAACCAGGATTTCTATCTTTGTGAAAAAGGTGTTGGTTATAGATTTGTTGTTGACAAAACTCTTGTCTATTCAGCTGTTATGGTCCCAGCTGGATTCGTCTGCATATCTGGCAACCTGAGTCAGGGAGAGTGGGAGAGGCTGCAGTACCACTTTTACCCACATGTTTACAGACTGCTCCTGTAAAGGTATATAGGAGGATGTTCTACTTCCGGCTGGATCATCAAGACTATTGGTCCTCCCTACTGTCAATCATCCTGTTGATACTGTGAAGCATGGGGGTGGAAACACGCTTTTCTGCAAAACAATCGTGGAGTGAAGCTCTCACTGTCGGAGTGAATTGGTTTTGATACATTTCACATTGTCCTGAAATCATTTTACTGTTGTTATTACCATTAACATCAAACATTGCAGTGGACGCCGAGCTACGGGAACGAAAGTGTCCTAAAGTGTGTGTGTGTCTGTGTGTGTGTGTGTGTGTATGTGTGTGTGTGTGTGTGTGTGTGTGTGTGTGTGTGTCTCTGTGTGTGAGTGTATGTGTGTCATTCAGTGTGTCTGTGTCTGTGTGTGTGTATGTCTTTCAGTGTGTGTGTGTCTTTCAGTGTGTGTGTGTGTGTGTGTGTTTGCGTGTGTGTGTGTCTGTGTGTGTGTGTGTCTTTCAGTGTGTGTGTGCGTGTGTGTGACAGGAGTTCTACACTACAGCAGACAGGGGGCGCTCTTACGCTGAAGGACAGGGGGCTCCGGGGCGGGGCCTGTCTGGACTGGGGTCTGCCGGGGTGTGCCGGGCAGCCCTGTGTGGACACAAGAGCTGCGGGGTTAGAGACGGGTGAGGAGGGGGAGACAGGGGGGGAGAGAGGAGGGGAGAGACGGAGAAGAAGAGGGGGAGAGAGGAGGGGAGAGACGAGTGAGGAGGGGGGAGAAGAGGGGGAGAGACGGGCTATGAGGGGAGAGGGGTGAGTAGGGGGAGAGAGGAAAGGATGGGGAGGGAAGGGAGAGGAGTGGGTAAGGGGGGAGAGAGATGGGTTCAAAGGGGGAGAAAGGGGAGAGGAGGGGGAGAGAGGGACCTGGGAACCTCAGACCAGGACCTTCGGGGCTGTTAAGTGCTGACGTCACACTCCTCCAGGTCCAGGTTAAAAAGCTAAGCTAAAGCTAAGCTAAAGCTAAGCTAAAGCTAACTGTAGCATCTGGGTCTACAGTCTCAGCCCTGGGTCTACAGCCTCAGTCTTGGGTCTACAGCCTCAGTCCTGGGTCTACAGCCTCAGTCCTGGGTCTACAGCCTCAGTCCTGGATCTACAGCCTCAGTCCTTGATCTACAGCCTCAGTCCTGGGTCTACAGCCTCAGTCTTGGGTCTACAGCCTCAGTCTTGGGTCTACAGCCTCAGTCCTGGGTCTACAGCCTCAGTCTTGGGTCTACAGCCTCAGTCCTGGGTCTACAGCCTCAGTCTTGGGTCTACAGCCTCAGTCCTGGGTCTACAGCCTCAGTCCTGGGTCTACAGCCTCAGTCTTGGATCTACAGCCTCAGTCCTGGGTCTACAGCCTCAGTCTTGGGTCTACAGCCTCAGTCTTGGGTCTACAGCCTCAGTCCTGGGTCTACGGCCTCAGTCTTGGGTCTACAGCCTCAGTCTTGGGTCTACAGCCTCAGTCTTGGGTCTACAGCCTCAGTCTTGGGTCTACAGCCTCAGTCCTGGGTCTACGGCCTCAGTCTTGGGTCTACAGCCTCAGTCTTGGGTCTACAGCCTCAGTCTTGGGTCTACAGCCTCAGTCCTGGGTCTACAGCCTCAGTCTTGGGTCTACAGCCTCAGTCCTGGGTCTACAGCCTCAGTCTTGGATCTACAGCCTCAGTCCTGAGTCTACAGCCTCAGTCCTGGGTCTACAGCCTCAGTCTTGGGTCTACAGCCTCAGTCCTGGGTCTACAGCCTCAGTCTTGGATCTACAGCCTCAGTCCTGAGTCTACAGCCTCAGTCCTGGGTCTACAGCCTCAGTCTTGGATCTACAGCCTCAGTCCTGAGTCTACAGCCTCAGTCCTGGGTCTACAGCCTCAGTCCTGGGTCTACAGCCTCAGTCCTAGGTCTACAGCCTCAGTCCTGGGTCTACAGCCTCAGTCTTGGATCTACAGCCTCAGTCTTGGGTCTACAGTCTCAGTCCTGGATCTACAGCCTCAGTCTTGGGTCTACAGCCTCAGTCCTGGATCTACAGCCTCAGTCCTGGATCTACAGCCTCAGTCCTGAGTCTACAGCCTCAGTCTTGGATCTACAGCCTCAGTCCTGGGTCTACAGTCTCAGTCCTGGATCTACAGCCTCAGTCTTGGGTCTACAGCCTCAGTCCTGGATCTACAGCCTCAGTCCTGGGTCTACAGCCTCAGTCCTGGATCTACAGCCTCAGTCCTGGGTCCACAGCCTCAGTCCTGGGTCCACAGCCTCAGTCCTGGGTCCACAGCCTCAGTCCTGGATCTTCAAATGACCACAGAACAAGATGGCGAACACAAGCGGCCCAATTCTGGGAGGAGGAAATGGGAAGACCCCACTTCAGACCTAACCAGATATCTTTAAAAGAACCATGAGAACCATG